GGCCAAAAAAACACGAACTAGGCTCTGAACAGTATATTCTACAGGATTTCAAATCTCCACCTTTGGATACCCGTGCCTTTACTGTTAGGAAAAGTGTTTCAGGAAGCCCTTTTTCTCTGAGATTCGTCGGACGCTGAACCACGCGTCTTTTTCTGATCTCAATCTCTCGGAAAAAGCCTCTGTCCTCCTTTTCACAAAACGGAAGTCTTCGAATTGACAGGTCATATGACCAAAGGCAATTAAGTGACCTCTATCGTCTATACTGAATGAAATTTGTTTTTATGGAAAGGAACCGCTACCTGTACTGAATGAAGTTTAACATCTAGCGAATAGATGGCGCCAGCAATACTAAAATTTGGAATTTTATAAAAAGAAAAATAAAACGCTACAATATTTATATATAGATTTTGAGTGTTGTTGACTTCTTTTTCATTTTTTATATAATTTGAATTTTTGTGTTTTTGTTTATTGCGCTTTTAGATAATAAATGTATTTGTTTCTAACATTGCTAAAACAGCTATAAAAAATTAAACCTCGTCATTCGTTTTAAGCATGGGGATATTTTAATATGGGCCACATATAATCATTGCTGACCAATCTAAATTATGTAGATATGTCAGCCATATGATTACTAATTATGTTGGGAAAAAACGTACAATAATATATTCAAGTAGAAATTAGATTAAGGCGGGATATATTTGCCTGCGCTACCTTACTTAAAAATCTTTCAAACAAGACCTTTATCAAGATACCTCGAAACAGACGGCCTTAACACCTAAATTATATAGGTATATATTAGCGCAACAAATGATTCCATCAACTTATAATACTTGAAAAAATAACCACGCAATATAGTGTTAGTAAACGCCAAAGTTTGTGAATTGGGCAAATGCATAATTAGAAGAGACAAGTAATGACGTCATAGTTCAGGACTCATTACCCGCAACTCGTTTTCGTACAAAAGGAGATGCCAGAGAGGGAAGCGGATGACGCACCTCCAACTACGCCCATTTTTAAATTCGAAGAGAAGTTCATGTGTCCATTGCCACATTCAAAGCTTAGGGATATTTGTGCTGATTTTTCATGTTTAATCCAAATAATTTTATCGAACCAATACCAGATGATCCTGTGAATAAATTAGGTAAATTACTAGCACAGGACGGGGCAAGTTTTGCGGAACGAGTTGAGTGATTTTAGAAAAAAATGAACTGACTTGAGAACGACGAAATTGAGTAAAACGATAAAGGTGAAGATGATGCAGACGACACAGTTAATAAATTAGAAGTTTCTAGACAAAATTTTCTTCACACTCACGATGTAAACAATGCTTGTATTTTTTTAGTTTGCTGTTATAATATTTTGTGGAAATACAAATTATACATTCATTCTTATAATCATCTCCTTAAAGCCTACCAGTGTGCCCTTAGTTTAACGTGCGTACAAGTAGGGTACGAAAAATGCTTCTCGACCCCTAAATACATAAAAAATCGATTATGGAATCGACTTACTATGGAAAATTTAGAGAGAGATGTGTGTGTGCGTGGATTATAATAAATTTAAATAAAGACATTATAGGATTGCTGACTTTTGAGGTGATTTTTATTGGAGATGTTTACTTTAACTCCTCCATTAAAGAATCTATTATTATATTCTCTTCTAAAATTTATTTTTGTTTTGTGAAATTTATTAATTGTTTCATAAAATTAACCCAAAGATGTAATATCAAATTTCTTTATGTTCCCAAGCCGCTTCAAACAGTTCGTCCAAGCCTGCTTATAATGTACCTAAACGCATCTACAGCCACCAGACGACCAAAATGAAAATAAAGTGTTTGTACATTTCCTAAGTTCCCAGTAAGGTGACATAAAGTTCAGAAACCTGTGTTTTGTAAATTACATTCAACCATAAAGGAAGTGAATAAAGCTACATTCGTAATGAATTCGCCGGCCGAGTGGCACTTTGGCACGCATTCCAGCACAAAATTTGCCATTCATAATAACTTCAGGGCTATGCTTCAGGATTAATGAAGTTAGGTTAGAGTCAGCGGCTTTTAGTTTTGTTTTTGTTTTGAAAAATGGAAAACACGGAATGTAATAGTTGTGTAAATGACGAATTCTTACTGCAGTGTGTTGCCAATTATAAACCACTGTACGACAAAACAGACAAAGGATATAAATCTATTTTACAAAAAGAAAATTGTTGGGCCTCTGTAGCCAAGAGTCTATTTTGCACAGGTTTGTTGGTTGTTGTGATACGGACGAGACGTAGAGCGAACTGTTTTTTGTAATTATGGCATGATATTTGATTTAATCGTATTTGTTTTTAGTTCCTGAAGCGAAAGCTCGATTTAAAAGCTTTAGAGAGAAGTATAGAAGGGAATTGCAAATAATAGAAAAACTAGGAAGAAGTGGGGCTCCTGCTTCAGCAAGACCAGTTTGGCCCCTTATGAGTTTTTTTAAATACATGTATAAATGCGGTGAAGAATCCCAGAGGCATACAACATCAAACGTTCCTGTTCAAGTTGATGAATCACAAGCCAATCAATCATCAAGTCTTGTTAATTCAGATGAAGAAAGCATCATACTTCAATTTGAAGAGGAAGATCCTAATACAGTTGCATCAACAAGCACTATAGATAATAAACGCTTGAATGCACCTACACCAAAGAAACGCAAAGGAAAATCTACAATGGAAACAGATATAAAACAAATCGACAGTGTTCTGCTGGATGTTTCTACAGCGATTACAAATTTAAATAGTAATAAAAAAGATACTAACAGGTATGAACTATTTGGTCAACTTATGGTTTTCGAACTAAAGAATATTGGAGAGCCAAATGCATCTTGATGGAGGACTTGCAGGTGACCATTATAAACTTTACAAAAACATTAAGATCTACCGACTAGCAATAATCAAGAATTTCATAGTTTTGCAAATATTAGTTTTAGAAGGTAGTTCTTCTGATTGTGGTATATCCAGGTCATCAGCCAATAACTTTTTGCCAAAGGAAGAATTATTTAATACCCCACCGTCACTGTGAGACCCATATGCACCAATGTCTACACAGATGAAATTATACTTGGCATCACAAACTGCCAATAGAATGATACTAAATGATTTCTTATAATTATAAAACAAAGATCCGGTGTTGGATGGCGCCTGCATAATGATGTGCTTGCCATCAATTGCTCCCACACAGTTTGGTAATGACCATAAAGACAAGAAATTTTCAGAAATACTTTTTCACTCTTTTTTTGTCAAAACAGGCAACTGTAAAGGCTGTAGTAAATTCCAAATAATGCAACATGTTTCTTTAATTATCTCACATATTGTAGATACTCCAACTAGGAAACCATATGAAAGGCTCGGATAACTGTCACCAGTAGCCAAAAATCGTAATGTAATGGCTAATCTGAAACAAAGAAACCATACAATGTAACATTGGAACCAGGTGTTTATAGTAGCTAATCAGCGCTGGTACTAATTATTAATCATACCTACAACCTGGAGAGATGGGTTCTCTGTTG